ACTTACTTTTATTTTTCATAAGTGAAGATGACAAGTGGCAACTTGCCTTTGGAAAAGATATTAAAGAATATCAGGGTAATAAACTATCTGTCTCTTAGAGATGGTATCCTAAGAAAGACTGTTACATAGCTTTTTAAAAAGTCCTGTCAAATAAATCTCAGAATAATATGCAAAAACAGCATGACAAAACAGCAAAACAAAACCACCACCACTAACAAAAAATTATATAGAGTCCATTAAATGGTATGTGAAGAAGGAAAATGGAAAATCTGGAAATCCACATACTGATAGTGCTGTATTAAAATAGAGGAGGCCCAAATACTGCATTGTAAGAATGGAAATCAATTAGGCTCTCAAAACTCTACAGTGCAAACTTTAACAAGACAGGGTATCCAAGGTAAAATCAATCTGCTCCCAACCATCCATGGAAAAGAGATAGTGCAACTACCACTTGATACAAATAGCTGTCTGCATTTCCCCAAGATACGGGCTTGAGAAAACCAACTCCATTTCCAGTAAAATGTGTTTCATTGCCACCAAAGCCCTTACAGTTATGTTGGGTGTTGGAAAACAAGGAATATGTGTTATGTATTAAGGAAAGTTAGCTGGTTCTCATGTAGCATCATTTCTTTTTGAACCTTTAAGTCATATTCCCCCACTTTGAGGTCCTTGCTCTTAAAAATCTCTTTGCCATCATGGCAGTGATGGCAGCAGCTCCCCAAGGTCCTGTGGTCACTGATGAATGACAGGACAACCAGGAGCTGTGAGGCCACAGCCTCCAGAGCAGGCAGCCTGGAGGCCAGGCAATCACCATGCTGGGGATTGGCCCATAGTTTCCTTCTTCAACATTTGAAGACAAATGGCAGAAACATCTAAGAGATTGTTAGGGTAGATATAACAAGCTGATTGCAAACATTAATGAAGTCCAAAATTTACAAAAATTCACCACATGAAGTTTATGATTCTTATTGGACAAACAGAAAACATGAATGGCAAAATAGGAAAATGAGAGCTACAACAGAGAGAGAGAGAGAGAGAGAGAGAGAGAGAGAGAATGTTGAATATAGTTGCTACTATGCAATATAAACTAATCGTCTTATCTATTTTATGACATGACACACATTAATAAAGACAATTGTACAGTCTTCTAATTCATCTAGATCTAATAGCAAATAGTACAAACTTATTCCCCCATGCTACATATGTAAACAAATAGTGTCGTTGCACAATCATAAGATCCTCCACCATCTATATATGTTAATAATCTAAGAGATATGTAAACAAATGTACATCTGAGTCCAAGTACCTTAAATGAATCATGCTTAGCTAGCAATAGTAATTTATATTTTCAAGGTGAAGTGACAGCATTTGAAAGAAGAGATAAAGCAATATCAGGTCTGTTATTAGCTAAAGCCTGGATACATTAATAGGTAGGTATTGTTTTGGATCTATATAGAAGAAAGAAAACTAAACATGTTCCTTGAAATTTATTACGAGATATGCAATGAATCAGCTATCAACTATTTAATGCATATCAGGGCATTAAAAGCTCATTCCAGGGAGTATGGAAGTATGAGACATTTTAATGATTTTGAATTATGAGTACCAAGTCTTATTAATAAACACAATGAACAAGAAAAAAATATTGTTTATAAATAAGTTACATGATTTATGATCAGATGAGGGGGAAGCATTGTCTATTACAATCCATTGGAGACTTCTTTTCCTTATCTTCCTAAAAACATGGAACAATTGCCCCCACACTTCTGTCACGGAAGGTGCCCCATCCCCCCTAATTAAAGCTGAATGCCTTCCCCATCATAATGTCTCCTGTTGCTCTTCACTTCCCTATAAACCAAATCAGTGTCATAATTTGCTAGCATCATAAAACCTCTATATGTCTCAGTTAAGTAAAATATCTTCCTTTATTTCACTGATCTTATACTTCTAATAAACTTTATTGCGCTATGGTTTTCCTAACTATATTGTGCAATTGGCCTTGGCAAATGCATGTATTCTTCTTAGGTCTGCCACAAACAAAATATAAAGTCCATTGCTTTAAAAAGTTTCCCTCTAACCCTTTGATGTCAATCTCTGCTCCCAGATCCAGGCCCTACACAACTATTGGATTGTTTTCTCTCACTATAGATAAGGTCTTTGATTTCTAGAATTTCAAATAAATGGAATAGTAGAGATGTTTTCTTTCATTCCTAGCATCTTTTATTTTTTTAATGCTATTGAATGTATCAGTAGTTCACTCTTTTTATTGCTGAATAATATTCCACTATATAGACATTGCAAATTATGTAGTCTTTTAAATTTTAGTACTTTATTTATTTATTTATTCATTCATTCATTCATTCATTCATTCATTCATTTATTTTTTAGTACGCTCACCCCCACGCGGGGCTTGAATTCATGACCCTGATCAAGAGTCACAAGCTGTACCAACTGAGCCAGTCAGGTGCCCCTTAAATTTTAGTATTTTATAGTGATATCAATATTTTAATTTGCATTTCCCTGACTAATATGATGTTGAAGATTTTTTCCATGTTTAAAGACCATTTGAATATCCTCTTTCATGAAGTATTTTCTAAAACTTTTGTCCATTTACAAAAAAGTGGTTGTCTGCCTTTATTATTGAGGCATAATTATTCCTTCTGTATTCTGTGTAGATGCATGTCTTCTGGAAGATATAGATCTGCAAATATTTCCTCCCAGGCTATATCATGCCCTTCATTTTCTTCATTGTGCTTTTCAGAGACCTGAATGTTTTTTAATTGTGATGAAGCCCAATTTATGATTTTAATTTCTATGGTCCTAAGAAATCTTTGCTTGCCCTGAGGGCACTAAGATTTTTTTCTTGAATTGTATAATTTCAACTTTTATGTTTAAGTTTATGATCCATGTTGAATCCTTTTTAATGTATTTTGCAAGGTAAAAGCTTATTTGAAACTTGGATATATATACCAGATGTCTTATACTGGAGAATTATTATTAATTGTCTTGGAAGAAATAATGGAGTGAGATTACATACATAAGAGACAGTTCTGACTTTTATGTATGGAAGCTAAATTAGCTTGGGGTAAATATTAATGATTTTTCTACAACTTATACTGCTCACTAAGAAAAAGAGAAACAAATAGTATAACCCTGTATGTATAGCTGCCTAGATAGATAAAAAGGTATTATTGAATCTAGACAGACACATGCATATGCACAGTACTACACGTAGAGATATTTTTACTTGAATATCATCAAAATTAAAAATTAAAAAAATAAAAATAATGTTGCAAAATATTATACACTACCTTACTGGGATACACAAAATAGTGTATTTCATGTAGGCTTAAGTGTAATAATTAATTTTAACAATAATAGTAGTAATAATTCCTTCAAGTGTTGAGAATTGGAGGGATAGTGGGGGCAAGAAACTTAACCAATTCTTCTAGTACACATATCTGAAGTTCTAAAGGCAATACTGAAGTCCAAGGTTCAGAGGTTTCTATTCAGGAAACTCACTTTTATAGAAGTAGCATCAGATTTGGGTCAGTTCGACTAGGATATGAATATATTATCTAATTTAGAGCCTACTACTGAGTCAAGGTACTTTTCTAGTTTGGGTTTATTAGGATTTCTACATAAATATATTCGTGCATATTATGTATTCGTGCATATGTACTATTTCATTTGCCATTATTTCCAATTTTTGCTGACTCTGCAGTACATTTCAATACATTTGATCATCAAGTTTTACCTCCCAAAAGTGTAGCTATGGACTTTCTTTACATCCCCTCAGTATTGGGAAAGAATTGTCCATTAGTTTGCTATACCGTAAAGTGTGAATGTTTCATATAGCTTTACTTATTGCTAAAATCCTTGCACAACAGGTCTTTCTGGAATGCCTGCTGAGATCCCTGTCAAAATTTCACATAGTTTATTAATTTTTGATGCCCTCTGTAAATCTTGTGGTTTTGTATTTCTGTGAGATTGGTTAATTTCAGAAACTTCCCATGCTTTTTGTAAATAAATGAGCAGAGTTGTAGTTATTATAACCCTTATCATTAGAAGAACAAAGTCCTTGTGTGATGTTGTAAATAGAAAAATGGTGCATGTGTGTGTGTGTATGTGTGTGTGTGTGTGACTCAGAAATTGGAAATAATATTTGAGAGTGCTCTCTTTCACTCCTCTGTCTCTAATTTAGAAAAAATTTGAAAAACTTATTTTACCACTGCTATTGATGTGTATGTGATGAAACAGGAATTGTCCTATACTTTTTATTTTATTCAAGTAGTTAACATATAGTGTAGTAATGGTTTCAAGAGTAGCACTCAGTGATTCATCACTTACATACAACATCCTGTGCTCATCCCAACAAGTGCCCTCCTTAGTACCCATTCCCCATCTATCCCATCTCCCACCCATCCCTCCATCAACCCCGTTTGTTCTCTGTATTTAAAAGGCTTGAATGCTTTGCTTCCCTCTCTGTTTTTATCTTATTTCTCCTTCCCTCCCCCTATGTTCATCTGTTGTGTTTCTTAAATTTCACATATGAGTTAATCATGTTACATTTGTCTTTCTCTGACTTATTTCAATTAACATGATACATTCTAGTTCCATCCACATTGTTGCAAATAGCAAGAACCCATTCTTCTTAATTGCTGAGTAATATTCTATGTTATATATGTACCACATCTTTATCCATTTATCAGTTGATGGACATTTGGGCTCCTTTCATATTTTGGCTATTGTTGATAGTGCTGCTATAAACATCAGGGTGCGTGTGCCCCTTTGAATCAGCGTTTTTGTATTCTTTGGGTAAATACCTAGTAGTCCAATTGCTGGATCATGAGGTAGTCCTATTAACTTTTTGAGGAACCTCCGTACTCCTTTCCAGAGTGGCTGCACCAGTTTTCATTCCCACCAACAGTGCACAAGGCTTCCTTCCCCTTTCTCCATATCCTCACTGATACCTGTTTTTTCCTGAATTGTTAATTCTAATCATTCTGACAGGTGTGAGATGATACCTCATTGTGGTTTTGATTTGTATTTCCCTGATGATGAGGGATGTGGAGCATCTTTTCATGTGTCTGTTAGCCAACTGGATGTCTCCTTTAGTCCCATACCTTTTAAAAACTAATTTGGCATTGCATATCCAGATTAGAAAAAAATCATACACTTTGTTAGAGTGTTGGTACTTCAAAAATATAACCTAATTTTTAAAAACTGATCAAATTCTTTGTAAAACAGGTGACAATTGCAGCATGGCAGACACTTGGGAAATGTAATAAAATTTCAACAATAGAAGATGATTACAAAAAATAGTTTAGGACCATTAAATTTTAATACTGTTTTGCAAGTAGCATGAGGTTTTCAAAACTATTTTATGGACATACAGTGGTAATGTTAAGATAAAAATAGGATAAAAAATGTATATTTAATATGATTCCTTTTTTTCATTTTACACATGAGCACAAAATAATCTGGGAAATATATTAACTTAAACAATCATTATGTTTCCATAAAAGGGTTCTGAATAATATATATTTTCTACTTTATTTTTCTATAATTTTAATCTATTTTAAAGATTTTATAACTAGATAATAAACTTTACACATATCTTTTTAGCAGGGTTCATATAGACTTACTGTCCACAGACCCAACTAACCAGCTGCCTGTGTTTTGTAAGTAAAGTTTTATTGCAACACAGCCACAAGTATTTATTTACATATTGTCTATAACTTCTTTCATGCAAAAGGGCAAAGTTAAGTAATTGTAGCATCAGGATATTATGGCCAACTCACACAGCCAAAAATATTTACAAAATATTTATTTTCTGTACTTTTACAGAAAAAGGTCTCAGTTCATTATGTTCAAGTTTCAAATCAACCAAAATTTCTTAAAAAAAGGTTTTACACACCACAAAGTTATATAAAACTTTATTATATAAATGATTTCACTTATCAAACAAATTCTTTAAAATCCTATTTACATCTAAAATTGTGACTTTATTTAAAATATTACTACTTTATTTTTGTTTCTCAGTTTGTTTTATTTTTTTTAATATGAAATTTATTGTCAAATTGGTTTCCATACAACACCCAGTGCTCATCCTAAGAGGTGCCCTCCTCAATGCCCATCACCCACTTTCCCCTCCCTCCCACCCCCCATCAACCCTCAGTTTGTTCTCAGATTTTAAGAGTCTCTTATGGTTTGACTCCCTCCCTCTCTAACTTTGTTTTTTCCTTCCCCTCCACTATGGTCTTCTGTTAAGTTTCTCAGGATCCACATAAGAGTGAAAACATATGGTATCTGTCTTTCTCTGTATGACTTATTTCACTTAGCATCACACTCTCCAGTTCCATCTACGTTGCTACAAAAGGCCATATTTCATTCTTTATCATTGCCAAGTAGTATTCCATTGTGTGTATAAACCACAATTTCTTTATCCATTCATCAGTTGATGGGCATTTAGGCTCTTTCCATAATTTGGCTATTGTTGGAAGTGCTGCTACAAACATTGGGGTACAAGTGCCCCTATGCATCAGCACTCCTGTATCTCTTGGGTAAATTCCTAGCAGTTCTCTGCAGTTTGCAGCTACTGCAGGGACTACCCAAAATTATGAAACAGAAGAACTCTCCTCAAAAGAAACTCCAGGAAGTAGCGACAGCTAACAAATTGATCAAAAACGATTTAAGCAATATAACTGAACAAGAATTTAGAATAATAGTCATAAATTAATCTCTGGGCTTGAAAAAAGCATAGAGGACAACAGAGAATCTATTGCTACAGAGATCAAGGGACTAAGAAATAGTCATGAGGAGCTAAAAAATGCTATAAAATATTCCTACTTTATGGCAGAAATTCAAATCATTCAGAATGAAAAATATATACAGTAGCTTATTTTAAGTAAAATTAAAGCTTCAAATGCATAAGTAAGCTGTTTAGAGCCTTTTTTGTCTTTACAATGTATCTCTTTAAAGAGATGACAGAGAACAGTCATATTTAAATTATTCTATCTTGAAAATGGCTAATACTTCAATTATGACACTGTTTAAAGAACAGAACTCCGGGAAGAGAAGTCACTAGCCTCCCTCCTTTTTACTATTGTTACTGACTCACTTTGAGTTCTGAGGTAATGAGAAAAATAGTAACTCCCCAACTATGTAAACCACAGGGTTCTTTGTGATTCACAATTTAGTAGTGCTCTTAAGAAAATCAGAGCATTCCATGGACAATGGGGAAGAGATCAATACATGTGCCAATGTATAAAGGCCTAAAATCAGAGTTCTCAATTGGAAGGTACAGGATTCTATAAATGCTTCAGGGATTCCTTTCATTAAAGTGTTGCCTAGACATTACCCTTGATTTTCTAAAGAAGGCTTACGGAATGCTGATGGTCTGGAATAGAATTCTCCAATGTTCCTAAACTCATGCTAGATTTCTTTTCCTCTTCTTCCCACTATAATTCTAGCTTATTGACTTCCTGTTTTATTCCTTCTCTTTCCTTGAGAAGGGTTTGGCCCTCTTTGAAAGAATGATGGATCTGAAAGAACATTCTAATCATCAAGAACACTCACATTAAACCAGAAGTGATGCATACCACAGGCAGTCTTATAAAGAGATGAGACAGAAAGATATATTACCCTTTTATTACAGCTGAGTATATGCTCATGCTTGCCGAGGTCCCCAAATAATGCACACAAGCTACCAGGAGAGTCATTTCTGTTTTCTCAGTTCAGGTTTCTTTTCTTTTAACAGTGTTGTCAGGCAAAGTGGGGCCACATGAATACAAAAACAACTTGGTTAATTTGAAATGACTATGTTCAAATAAGTGAAAGAAATAATACATTACATTGCACCCAAAAAGTTCTCATAATGCAGAGAGACTCAGTGTGATAATGTCTTTTTCAAACTATTGGTTCCATCCACTGTGATCCTATCCTTGGTCTACCTCACAAATTCCCCTCAGATTCCTGTCTAGATCATTAGTCAGACTGGAGCTAGCTAGACCACAAGTTGATGCTCTTTCCTAAATGGACCTACCTATTCCTTATCTCATACTGTCCTTAGTATGTGGGAGTGGCCCTGCAACCTGAAGTCCAGAAGTGGTGTTTATACAGTTCAATTTTTGTCTAGAACACTTTTTAAATTGGCTGGACTCCTACCTACTGTGATTTTGGTCTATCTCTTGATTATGACCAGAAACATATAAATGCAATGTGGTCTTATAATCTTGGTTCAGAAAGTCAACCATGTAAATTATTTCTCTTTAACTCACTGATCAGAGCAACTTAGCATGAAACTGAAAACATTTTCAGACACTCATACAACATGATTTGTATTTGAAGTTTAGAAGGCTTTTCATAGGTATAAAATTATAATGTATAACTATGTATGTATTTTAGGGAAGAAATTTTCCTCTATCCTTCTGAGTTCTTGGCTGAGACCCCTGTAACAAAAGACAGATTAACAAAAGAAAAACAAGGAGAAGTTTATTAACATGTATACTTCATTTATGCATGAGAGACACACACCCCGGAAAGATAAGTAATGCAAAGAGGTGGCTTTAGAATTCAGGATTAAATACCATCTTAATAGGAGAAAGGGAGGGAGATGTAGGCTTCGTAGGGAGATTAAATATTTTGTTTTGTTTTGTTTTGTTTTTTTCCCCTTAGGAAAGATGAATGGGTTCTTAGAAGAAGAGATGGGAAGTTGGGTCATTTGTGACACAGTCCATCTGGGTATGGTGTCTTCTCCAGGTGTCCTCCCCCATGATAAAAATCAGCCCTCCTTGGTGGCAAAATTCCCTGGGAAGGGATCTATGACAATTGAGTTCCTTTGGGGGGGTCTTTTAGATGGGTGAGGAAGTTCAGAGAAAGCATTTGCTGTTTCTCAAGTATCTGTGTCTCACAAAGATCAGTCTGACAAAGAGGCATATTTTGGAGTGACATATTCTGTTGTCCTTTATTATATACACACATTTAATAACATAATACTAGGATCTCATTTTGAATCATTATGTTCTCTTATTCATATTTATCATTTCCTATCAAATCAATTTAGATGAAATTAAAATGTATTCTATTTTTAGCTTTTGTGATAATTTTCTTGGTATATTAATTCCATGATCATCTTCCTCCTCCCTATTTCTGTATCAAACTCTCAAAGTATCTTCTTTTTGCTCTCATGTTACCCATTAAAATGTCCTAGAAAAATCTTTTCTTTTCTCTGCAGCTGGACTCCCTAATCTGAATCAATATGTGTTCATTCTCCCTCATCATGATATGTGCGTGCAATATCTTATGCTGTATGATTTGGGCCACTATTTTCTAAAGGGATTGTAATTACTATTTTTAATTAATTAAGGCTAAAGTGTGTTGAAGAAATATAATTAAAAACAAAATTTCCTGCCAAAGCAGACAATCTCTTCACCAGGGATTAAGAGAAAGAAAATGATTTTATTATTGAATGAAAATTAAATCAGACTGTGATGCATAACACAGCAGTCTCATAAAGAGATAAGACAGAAAGATATCTCACCCTTCTGGCTAAGTATGTGCACCTCATGGCATACACCTTCTTCAGATAAACATTGACTAATCTGCAAGTGAGAAAGAGGACTAGACAACATTCATCCCACACAGTTCATCCTAACCTCATCTAGCATTTGAGGTGACCTTCTATGCTGGCTAATTGGTTTTATCCAACGGAAAAATAAACTTTTCATGTCTTCATGACAGGGAGTAGTTTTGGAGCAAGACACTGCAGAAACCCGGGGTCTATAATCCCACAGAAACTGGGATATAGGGCACATATCAAACAGATGGTTCCCAGGTCCTTGAGGAAGAGGCTTCTATAGCTTTTAAAGGATTCATATATATGTTAAAGATTCAGAAAAATAATTACAATTGTAATTCTAAATCTAAAGCAATGCTGTTAAAAGGGAGGTATGGGGGGTTTCTTTCCTTATTTTCAATAGGGAGAGTTCATTCATTCATTAATTCATTTATTATTTACCTATTGAAGTGATAATAACTGATGATATGTGTGCAAGATAATTCCTTTAGAATGTCTAATTTTCTATTTGGGACAAGTGTAGATACTTTTAAGCCAGAGAACTGATATTGAACATTAAACATTGAAATTGTGATCTTTCAACAACACGATAGCCTGGAAATTGGTATAAGGAAGATTTCTACTCCTAACTAGAATGATAAATAAAATTCAATAAATTTACCTTTCAAACACAGAGCTGCGTTAGAGCAAAATTACACATATGTGCACATGCGCACACACACTCACACACCCACACCCTTAAATGATGGTAGAAATGCATTTAGAATTTAAATTCAAAGTAATTAGATTAAATTCTGATGTTATGATAGCTCAGGGGGCTTTATATGAAATTTGGAGTGTTTGAAATACACCAAAAGAAAGAAGATATACATGGTTTTAGGGATACACAAGGCAATAATCTAGAACTGAGACCCCAGCATGAAGTCCAAATGCTGGAAATACTCCCCCCAACACACATACGCGTGCACACACACACACACACACACACACACACACACACACTCCTTCCATGAGTAGGGCATTGGAAGATTTTGCACAACTGCCCAAAGATATTCTACTATGAGGGGAAAAAGTGTATTTGTATTAAAGAATCAATTATAATAAGTATAAATGTAAAAAATATTTTATTTAATTTTCATAAAAGATACAAATCTGTAAGTTAGTTAAGTGATATAGAAAATGTGGAGTTGAGGCACCTGGGTGACTCTGTCAGGTGAGCATGAGACTCTTGATTTCAGCAAGGAGAGTCTACCCCTCCCCCAGTTGCTCATGTGTGCACTTGTGCACACTCTCTCTCTCTCAAAATAATAAATGAACTTTAAAAAAGAAAGGAAAATGTTGTGAGGTGGTACAACATATAACTAATAGGAATTTAATTTAGTAACCATAAGTAAAGAGATAGCTTCAGGAAAAAAAAATCCAAGGAGACAGTCTTCTTTGATGAATACAGAAACAATGTTAAAATAAATTGTGCCCTTCTCTTGAACAATAACAGCAGAAATCTCGCAGAGGTAGCAGAAAGTATTTAGTGTGCAGGATTCTGCAGTGCAAAACAGATGAGAAGTTGTAATGTACAATGTATAGCTCAATGCTGGGTAAAGGGTTTCAAGAAGAATTTTCTTTCCTCTAGTGAGTATATGCTATCTAACTTGTTCCATAAAGAACATATTCTAGAGAACATCATTTCCCACTCAATTATATTAAAATAGAAGAAAGGGCAAACAGGGAATTGAAATGCATGCACTTTAGAAAAGACACATAAAGAAGAACAATTTTTAACTTTATAAGAGCAATTCTCATCTGTGGCATAATGTTTATTCAATGATTTCCATTTTTACCACCTGCAAGACTGAGGTCACCTTATTTTAAAAGATTAAGAAATAAAGGATAATAGAATATCAAGAGACTAAGTATATCTATTGAAACCAGAAAGGGAAGCACAGGGAAATGTAAAAAAGAACCTTTAAAATTCATTTTCTTTCTATGCCTTTTTAAAAATGGGATTCATCCTTTATAATGGTACTTTGGTTTGGCCTACATATCTGAATGATATATAATCTTAAATTCTAAGGGTTGCCACA